TGCGGTTTGTGCCCTCAGTCAATAAACCTCCGATCCCGTACTGGTTTTCTGGCTTGTGCTCATACCACTAAGCTCACTTTTCTCTCCGTCAGTGTCTTTGTGTGAGTATGTACAGGCTCTTGTACGTGCACTACAAGTTCCGTTTATCGCCTTGTTGAACCCGCTTCATTTCTGCAGCTTAGCGCCCACTCGAATTTGGATCTTTTCATTGAGCTCGATAGACATAAAGGCTGATGTATGTCTTGATTGTCGGTCCCGAAGGGCGACTAGCTTACTTGAGTGGTCGCCCAGAACGCTCCAGGCCCGCAAAGAGCGGTCCAAGCCTGAGAGCGTTTTCTTACAGGCCACCTGACAATGGTACTGCACCCTGATTTGATGAATATGCGCGCAAACCGCCTCAAGTAACATTAGCATAAGGCGTAAAACAAGATGGCTTGAAATACGTACACGTAAGGACAATAGTGTTTATGTTCCGTAGTCCAAACTAGATTGCCGGACATAGGCGTGCGCGATGGATAACTTGTCGCCCATAGAAAGCAGAGCAATTTCAAGCACGTTGGGACGTGGGGCAGCCCTGGTGCTGAAGCGTGATGACAAACTCCCTAGGTCCAGAGGCCCGATGAAGGAGCGGCAACTGCCGAATCAGCGCCTAGTTTGAAATTACTGGCCATCTAATATGACAGAATCACGTGCGATTTTAAAAGCACGCGCCTGACTTCCCCAACTGTTTCTGGCCGGCAGCCCAGCAATTGAGCATTATTGTGATGTCCAGAGGAACTCTCATTCATGAAGCGGAGTCCCGGCCTGAAGCCCATGAGACAACCGGGCGTCAGTAGGTGCTCAACCGAGCAGTTCCTATACGGGGACAGAAACCAACCCCAGAATAATGGGGAAACACTAACGCTACCTTCACGCGCATCAAAGCATCTAATATAGTACCCCTACATTATGAGCCCGGGAGCAATAAGAATTCCAGCCAGAGGTTTGGAAGCGGAAAGAGTAATTATTTGAGATTATGAAAGTATTAGAGATCTTTTAGATGCCTAGATGAGAGCCGTGCAAGAGGGCATCCTTATCTACATCAACATTACGCACAAAACGACATTTTAGATATGGCAGAGATTCCTCATCTAGGAGAAATGGATAAGAAACCTTGGTCATGATTCATAA